TATATTAATGTAATGTAACTGTAACGTTAATATAATGTAATTAATTACCGTTTGTTATATAACTGCTATATTACTATAACATTAGATACTTTACCTTTTGCACATACAAATCCCAAAAAAGATCCTGATTTATTCTAAGCGAATAAACTAAACGAAAATTGTAAATACATGTTTCGTTTATTTTTGCTTAGAATTAATTCAAACACCTTTCTTGAGATTATATAGTATGTGCAAAAGTAATATTTCCTGTTGGAGGCTGTGTTTTGGGGTGAATATAAGGATCGATAAAGATATATATACACACATTTTATGTAAATATAAGTATCTATGATATATATGCAAATATATATATATACATATACATTTTTCTATATTGCACAACGTTCATTTTGGCATTACATAGAACAAAGTGTTAAATATAAAAAATTTAACAGAAAGACAAATAAAAAACTGTATCGCACTTTATTGTTATGTATAGTTTTAAATAAACATAATAATATGCTTTATCTTTAAAATAGCCAAATTAATACAAATTTAGCAAATTTTTTTTTAATAACACTCTTAAAATAAAAGTTTTATAATAAAACTATATGCTTTAAATAGAAAAAAATGCCAGAATTCTATACATACACAAAATAAAATGAATCAATAATCACTATATTATAGGGATAGGTACTTTTATGCTTTGAGCATAATAGCAAATGTGTCAAAAATTGTTCTTAGCATAAATTTTACTAGTTATATGCATAGTACACACTTATTAATATTGACAGATTTCAATCGCATAATAAACACTTCCGCGCAGCATAATGCGATTTTCGCGTAATTATCGCACAATAAGGCAGTTTTTGTATTTAAAACACTCGGATTTGGGAGAAAACGAACGACGAATTTTCAAATTGAACTCTATATATTTTTTTTTAGGCTGTTATGTTATATATTACGCGAAAGATTGGAATAATATCAATAATGCGCATTATTATAATAGCTAACGGATTTAACACGCATAATTAGCGCATAATTGCTAGATTTTTCGGCATAATGAGAGCATTTTCAGACACTTTTTCCTGAAGAGTTTTTTCAAATAGCATTTCATACATCTAATAATAGTCACTTATATATTTATTTGGTTTTTTTAAGGAGCAATTATATTCCTATTTCAAAAGCATAAAGTACCTATCCCTATATATCTAATAAAATTTCACAAACATATATCAATCTTAATGAATAAGTCTATATAAAATAATATTTTTATAAATCATTTTTTTTAATATCAGAAATCATATATTTTTATCACATCAGGAAACGTATAAACATATATATAATATATATAATTCATAACTTTATTATACGTTTACCTTTCTTATAACTTAAACTTAACTTTTTTCTGATTATTTTTTGTTATACGAACACAAATACTTTTAATGGACATCAGGAGATGTATTATATAATAATGTTTCCTGGAGGACAGGCTAATGCGGACTTTGTCCTCAAAAGGGGACAATCCCAGCACCCATTAGTCTATATATACATATATTATATATATATCATACAGAAAACATTTATCTATTTATCGCCATGGTGTCCCCTTTTCTAGAGAGAAATCTATAAACCTTATTAAGACTTCTGGCTATTCACCGACCATGTTGGAATTGTGACGTTAGAGGCGAACAACGCATACGCTAAAATTCTCAAGTCATTTTGAAATAAAGACATTTTAATAAAACAGCACTTTGCATGGCTTTTGCGCACTCTCAAAATACTTTGAAAACTATCCTTTTCCCTTTATAATTAATCAAAAACTGTAAAATGACTAATATGAGGCCCAGTCCGTCTGATCTTTACACATGCACAGTCATTCCACATGACAAAGTTTAATATCACAATTATTTTACGATTGTTGATTGACTGTCAAGGGAAAAGAATAGTTTCGAGGTATTTTAAAAATGTGTGCTAAAACCATCCGAAGTAGTGTTTTTTTGAAGTATCTTTTCATTTAAAATGGCATCTAAATAAAACTTTCAGTGTGTTTTCTCGTCTCTGTCATAATCTAACATATGGCTGTAACGAGGATCCAGGATCTTCAAAGATATATAGCGATACTATATTTTTTTTATATTAAGAAAAAAATGTTTTTTTAAAAAAGATAAAGATATATATATATTTATATATGTATTAGATGTTACTCATCAACGTTATGTTGTACATCATTTTCTTCATTGTCTTGTTCCTTAGTCTTGTCTTCTCTTTCTTTTCTTTGTTTCGCAAAACGTAGCCATTCTGCCCTATACCATCAAAATCGGATTCTGTTAGACTTGCGTGACGTAAAGTTAAATCTCCTTAAAAAAGAGAATGCATTAAATTAAGGGGTAACACCACTGTAACGGCCCAAAAATTGCACTTCTTCGACATTTTTTTTTTAATGAAAGGAAATGAAATAAGTATTAATACTCCGTGAAGTTAATAAGCATATATTGAAGTACTAGTAAAAATTTTTTCATAAAATAATATTACAAAATGGCGGAATGGCAGCCATATTCCCTGATGCTCCTTTAAAATAAAAGGGTCTGCGGCAAGCAGTGTAGCCGTTGGAAATTTGAACCAAGAACAAAAAAAAATTCCTCATGATCTTCAATGTATATCTAGTACAATACGTATGGGATTTTAGAAATATTGATTTTTGAGTGATTGGCGAGCATTTGAATAAAGTCGTTCATTTTTCGACAAAAAAAAGTGACATTATTTGGCAATAAAAAATGTTTAGAGCAACGTATCAAAAATTCCATACGTATTGTACTTCGAAATGTTGTTTTGAATGTACAGTAAAAAATTCAAGTGAAAATATTAAAATTGTTAGAGTTATACTGCTTGCCGCGTTGAAAAAACGTGTTTCGAGAAAAACGCGTTTAAAGTTTGGAGTTGTATTATAACATGAAAAAATTTAAAATTCGACTCAAAAAAAATTTTTACTATTAGTCTGCAATCCCAGCACCGTAAAGCTGCCCTTCTAAGTTGGAATATTCGTCCTCCATTTCTTTCCTCGCAGATGTTATGCAGAGCGCGCTTTTTTTGCTGCATCTGATAATTGTGCTCGCGTGCTTGATTCGTTTTGCATCGGATTCGATGCAAAATTATATGCTTCGACGCCAATTTCCATTTCCATATATTTCGTATATCTAGATATATTTAGATATATTTAGATATATTTAGATATATTTAGATATATTTTAGATATATTTTAGATATATCTAGATATATTTCATATATCTAGATATATTTCATCTAGTAGTGTCTCACATAACTTAGAAATCAATAAGCAAGGTATTATGCACTACTCTCTCGACAGGTTTCCACCCGGAGCAGTAGCCGTTTCGGAGTCGCCCGACTCGTTCAGTACATAGCTAGGAATTTCGATGAAATAAATTAGTTTCACGTATAAAAGTTTTTTCCTCCTCGTATTCTACAGGGTTCAAAGGATTTTTTAAGCCCAAAAAAAAAATCGATTTTTTGAAAATTTTACAGTGGTGTTACCCCTTAATAAACTATCAATAAATTTTAAGTTTAGCACAGCTTATATATATATATATATATCACATACTTCTAACAATTTTTATTATATTTAAGTCACCAACTCGGAAATTGTTTCGAATTCCTTTCATGGAACAATTCATAGCACACTCATTCGTGAAAATTTTTTTCAAAATTTGTTGTATATTATCTTTAGGGTTGTTTCCTCCTATTTTCAACAAATACTCTCTCTGTAAAAATAACGTACATTTTGTACACATAAATTTGCTTTTAAATAAAATGCGATTGCTATAAAATAAGTAATATACAAAGAATTCTTACAAATTGAGTAACTGCCTCTTCTGTAGTTTTCAATAATGATTCAAATTGCTTTATACGTTCTACTGTGCTACAAGGTAAAAATTTCGTGATAATATTATCATTTACATCAAAATTTGATACACATTTTGTAAGAATAGCTTTTTCTATTCTTTTTAACGTTGGTTTATATCTTGTAACGTGATGTTTACTGTTGCTTGCATGTGTACCATTTGTTGTAAATTCTCTGCAATAAGACACATATGCATGTATATAAAAGTGAATGAAATATCTAACCAGAGATTAAGCAATCCGAAAATTCAGAATTTATTCTGAATTGTGTATAAATAGAGTAGTTCATCTGTAACACAAAACTACAATATTTTTATTTGTCCGGATTTGAGGGAGTGAAATCACTCCTTGAAGAAAATTTTTACAAAAGTTGCATCTCTTTAATTTTTACAAAATTATGTATAAATAAGTATTGAAAAATTTAAATAAATTTAATAAATTTTGAGGGTTTTCTGAATTTTCGTCCCTTGTAAGTGAGTAAAATACTCTGTAAATGAAAAAGAAATAAAAAATTACTTACGTTTTATATTCACATTCTCTTTTATATCCTCTATACACGGTACATATCCTAAAATATTGCAAATAATGTATTTTATTAATATCTCATATACATATATAACATATGTGCACACACACCACACACACACACACACACACACGTACCATCAAATATTATGGGTATGTTTTCCACTTCTTCGGCTTCCTTTTCTTTTTGTTTAGACAATGAAACACTTTCCATTCCTAAATATTTGTTACAATAATTATTATAACAACTATTATATTTAGATAATAAAAAATAATATGCGAGTTACCTTTCTTTGACAAAGTCTCATTAAAACGGCTTCCACAACTTTTTTGTGAGACATTATGTGTATTAAATGTAGAGAGTACATTATTATTTAAACCAAAGTTGTCAGGACACGATGGTAGAGTAGATGCAATAGCACTCGAACAGTTTTTTTCTGTAAGTCTTTTTCCTAAAAATATATATTTAAAAGTCACTATTAATACTATTAATACTTAATAAAATGAGTACCATAAAAAAATAGTAATAATACAATTTAAAGATCTTTCTTTTTATATGCGATTACATATGAAACAATCTCTAAAAGTATGTGGCAATAAGTTTTACATACTTTGACAAGATGTACCTTTAATGTTTAATTCTCGAGATTGTGTTTCTTCGTATTCTTCTTCGTCACTATTATTGCTACGATTGCATGAATAACGTTGTTTTTTATTAAATTTTCGAGATTGTGTTTCTTCGTGTTCTTCATCACTACTGTCGTATCGATTATATGGGCGCAATTGTCTTTTTCCTCGTCCTAATCGTTCGTCATCAGTTGTGTGATAATATGCATCTGATGCACTTTTTCGAGCTGATTCTAATGACGCTGTAAAAAAGAAAGGAAAAATAATGTCAATTTTTCGTATAAGTCGCATCGTGATTGAAAAAAATTTTTTATTCTCAAATTTAATATTAGAATTAAATGTATTTCTTAAATTTCAATTTAGAATTAAATGTTTTAAATGTTAAAAATATTATATATTAACTTCAAAATTTAATTTCATTACATAAACAAAGCTGTAAATAATAAAATATATTTTTTAGCTATTAATCTTTATTTGAATAAATTTACAAATAAATTATAGAAACATTTTTCTGCGCTGATACGCGCATTTATTTTGACAATTATTGTAAAATATACGATTATATTAAGTTTTATTTATTGTTTTATTATATAAATTTTAAATTTAAGAAAAAATATTTATATGGTTCAAAAATAGAGACTATATAGAGAATGTATAAGTACTTACAACAATATTTTATTATTTCTATCTCATGTCTGCTCCATATGTCGGTATTTGGACTTGCACAATTTGTAATTAAAATTGCGCTATTTGCTGTTCGTGGCGGCCACCAACATTGATCTGTCTCACCTTCTTTACAAAGCCAGGCAGTAGGAATTTCAGAAAATGTGCCATCCGACAGAAATTTAACTACTGCATAATGTTTTTTATCTTGTTTGGTATAAGCATCCATTATCTGTTGGTAAATACATATGTATATATATAAACAGTTAATGTTGATCAACATTTCATACAAAGATATATCATATCTGTGATATTATAGATATATTATAATATATTCATGCGAAAATATTAATTGCCTAAATTTTAAAAAATTGTACTTACACATTAATGATATCCATAAATGAAAATTCCACAAAAATTACAACGCATATACAATATTTATCTTAAAGACGAAAGATAAAGTAAAATATTTATATTAAAATATTCATAACGTATTAGTTAAAATTAATTTATAAAGTTATGCAAAAGTAAAGAATGTAGAATATATCAAATCTACTCAAAATGCATTTTAATTATTACTATGTAAAAGTGATATTGTAACAAACGAATTACTTTTATAAAAAAATTTCAATTTTACGCACTTTCTTTGTATTTGTGTCGCTGGAATTTTAATAATATTAAAACAAGTAATATTTGGTATCACGAATATACCAAGTTTTTCCGAAGGACATGGTTTAGTAAATAGAGATTTAAGATTCAAAAATTGTTGCGCACGAATAAATACAATCCCACAGTCTTCAAAAATTTCCAAAACAAAAATCACAGACATATCATGCAGTAAAGCACAATTATCAGTTTTGTTAATAGCAATTTTAAAAGTTTTGAATTGTAGATGAAAATATTGTTTTTTGGTGTGTAAATAACAATAGGATATTTTTTTTTGTGACACGGTTGAATTGGAAGCTGTAATTCTTCAGATGTACGATTTATTAATTCCTCTAAAGGTTTTCCTGATCGCAATTTTTTCTTAATTTTTTGCATATTATTCTCATATTTGAAACAACTAAAGTTGTCTAAAGAACCAAACATGTTTACATCATTGGCTAGATGAATAAGATTATGCACATTATATGAGAGATATTGGTCACCATAAATATTCCCGTAATTCGATACAAAGTGCAATAATAATGAATTTGCATAGTCATTAAATGTCACGCACAATTGTGGATCAATCAATATTCTAATTGCAACACTAAGACATAAAAAGTGATTATAATAAATTGAAGATATCGTGGACTTCATGACTACAATTCCAGTGTACAATAAAAACTGACGTAATTCAGTGGCTTTCCATCTATCAATGTCTCGTAAATCTCTAGGTTTTCTCGCAAATTCCACTGGAATATATGGCTGAATCACCATTAAATGCTGTGAAATTAAATTTACACACTCTTTCGATAATCTGAAATGTTTATTTCCTCTTTGCCAAATTTGTAACAATCGTTTTGTAACACCTAAACAAACAAGATGCATATAATCCAGTGGAATTTGCGATATCATTCCAATATGAAGTTTTTCTAATATGGAATCACCTGTATGATGTTCAGGTTGGGCACGATTTTTAAATGCATCATCAGTACGCAACGTATTATGAGTTTGTGGAAAGACCACTCTATTATGAACAAAATCACCTTCTTGTATACATTTAGGACAAGAGAAATATCCTGTATGGCCTTTGGTGCGTGTAATAAATGCTCTAGCTGGGGCATCGCATAGTATTGCACCAATAGCAACAGTATATTTATTGTTCAAAACAGTTATTCCATTTTGTGAGAGAGAAATAAAGTCATTGATAAAATCGGTTAAAAATTCGTTTGCATCATTGGGCTTGCACATGCCATGGTACACACCGATTATGAATGGTGATGTGTAAATATCTATTCCTTCTATTGATCCCATAATAGGCCAAAATTGGCTTCCAGAACTTTTACAAAGTGGTAAACCATCTGTATTTATATTTAATGTAATTTCATTTGTTTTTATAAATGTAGAATACATCTGTATTGATCGCTCAAGAGAAGACAAAATACCAAAATGAAAGTAACGACCGTTGCCCATAGATTTAATATGCATAAATGTATTTCGTGGCGTTCTAAGTAGACATCTGACATCATAAGGTAATTCCACATGACCATGTGTTATAAGAATACGAAGTAATTCGTTTGCACAGCTATGTGGAATATTACAATTAATAATTAACATTTGTAAATCCTTCCATAAATTATTCTCATTATTACAATAGGAGATATTTGTTGTAGGTGTATTATCCTTTAATTCAATGTTACATTCTTTTTTGTTATTCGTATCATGTTCTATCTCAAATTCATGAAATTCATTAGAATCGTTAGATAATATATTATCTCTACAAGATATATTATTGTTACATTCTTCACGAGTTAATGTTGCTTCTTTAATATTATTACATGCTTTGTTTGATTCGACTAATTGTAATAAATTTAAATTTTTATGTAAATTATATTGACAATTGATTAATTGATTCTTTCGTCTTTTAGATAAAAATCTTATGTCCTTCGGCATGTTGAATTAATAATATTTCGTATTAATATAAGTACTAAAATATGCGTGTCGATGTGTTTAAAATAGCGAGCTTATATTTGTTGTCGTACAAATTAAAAGAGACCTTTCTGAAAATGTTATTCATTCATTCATTTATTAGCATTAATTAAAAAATGACATATAATATATATTAACATGAAAATTTAATGACTTTAATTCATTCTTTTTGAGAAATATATCAAGCTGTCTAGTTAAATGTTAATTAATAAATATCTTCTAACAATTCCTCGCCCAGCAAACACGGTATATATATAAAATGTTATGTATATATGTAAGTAATGAAGCATATGTTACATGTAACGTATATGTTAGTTGTAATTTCCCACTCATAAATGTAACATTTTTAATATAACATATATTATACATTGTAGGTATATTGTCATTATATCCCAGATAGCACTGACTTATCGATACATGAATGTGCTATTTGGTATATAATTACAATATAACTACAATGTAATATATATGTTATATTAAAAATGTTACATTTATGAATGGGAAATTACAACTATAACATATACGTTACATGTAACATGCTTGATTACTTACATATTTGCTGGGTCCATATATAAAAAATAAAATAATATAATACATTTTCACAGAAAAGGATAACAAATAGATAAATATTGATGTAAATATTACCTGCTTAAATACTATCAAAGTATATATATATATATATATATATATATATATATATATATATATATACCTTCATTGACGACTTAATAATTTTTCCACTGTTCCATATATATATACTGCAAAGCACGTATACGCATACGTACGACAAATATTTGTTTGGCTGGCGGAAAGGCGAGACAATTTTTGGATCCAATATGTATTTCGTGTACAACCTGTGACGGATTAAAAAATATGTAAATTAAAGTTATGATAATATTTTTATAATATAGCATATATATATGTATATATATATATATATATATATATATATATATATATATATTACACATTTACACATTTATATTATTAACATAATGTATGAAGGAGAGGAAACACAACATAAGTATAATTATATGGGAAAATTATCATTTTGTTGGAAATATCTTCCACTAGTGACATAGATAATTCTCCGAGTTCATGTACTGAAAATATATCAAAATTTGAAGATTGAAATGGTTCAGAAATAAAACTTGTTATATTAATAAATTTTTTTCCAATTAAGTAGTACTTATTATCTTTTATAGCAAAATTTTCTATTAACATAATACTCTTATCTTTTAAATAACAGCAATTATCTCCAAAACGTGTACCAAACGACACATTATTTATAATCAATTTTTTAAATTGAGCAGAAAAATGTGTTATAGGTAAAGGACCTTCATGATGTTCTAGTACCATTTGCAATTTTATTTTTTTTTGACAGTTTAGTTATCAATATATTTTGTGACTCATGAATACGCTTTACAAGTTGTGCTAATGGATAATGAGATTTTCTAACTAATCGTTTTAGATATTGCATGTAATTTTCAAAAGGAAATGCACTGTAAAGATCTAAAGGTCCAAAAACTTTGCAATCATCAACAACATGAATTAATCCATGTACATTGTGTGAAGTGTATTCTGCTCCATAAATGACTTTAAATTGTTTCACAAAAAATATTAATAATAAACATGCTTATTCTAAATACTTTGTATATAAATTAGCATTAATTAAAATTCTAACAGCAATATGTAAAGATATAAAATGTAAGTATTTGTCAGATGAAAGGATATTTTTTAAAACAACTGGACCACAATACAATAAAAAAAATCTAAATTCAGTTGCTTTCCAGCGTGCAACTTCATTTAAAGACCGGGTTTTTCTTACAAAATCAGGAGGAATACAAGATTTTATTTCAATGAGATAACTTGAAATAGATTGTATGTTGGTTTTTGATAATCTATGTGAAATAGGTCCAAAGAGCCATATATTTATTAGTTTTTTTACTACGCCAAGGCATACTAAATGCATGTATTCAAGAGGGAAACTTTTTACCATGTTAATCGAAGGTATTGTTTCTAAAATTGATGTTCCTGTATGATGTTCAGATTGAACTCTATTACAGAAATTTTCATCCGTTCTTTCAAAATAATTTATTTCAGGATAACACACTCTGGCTTTTATATTAATATTTTCCTCTTTGCATACATTTAGTACATGCAAAAAATCCAGTGTGACCTTTGCAAGAAGTAATGAGTGATTTTGCTGGAGCATCACATATAAATGCTTTAATTGCAAATGGTATAGCATGATTATTATAAATAAAACCATCTTCCGATAACTTTATAGCTTCATCTGTAAAATCTTGTAAAAACAAATTAACATCATTAGGTTTTTCATAACCATGATAGATACCTATCACAGATATATATTGTGGATATTCAGATATTGAGCATAATATTGGATATATCTGACTACTGGAACTTTTGCTTAAAGGCAAACCATCAATATTAATAAACAAATTAATTTTTTCTGGCTGTTTTTCTAACAAATTAATTAAATTTTGAACTGCAAATTGAATTTCCATGTGTACATAAGTGCCTGAACCTACAGATTTGTAGGGTACATGTCGAGGAGTACAAAGTAAAGTTCTGGGATCTTGAGGCAAAGAAATATTTGTTTCTAATTTTAATAAATTTAATAAACTTCGTAAGGAGTTATGTGAAATATTATATGATATTGCCCATGATCGTAAATTATTAATAAAATTATTACTTTGATTATGTAAATTTTGATTTTCTATATTTTGTTGTGATATTGGAGTATCATTTTTAATAACATTATCAGAGTTATCAGAAGATAAGCTATATAAGTCATGTAAAACATTAAAGCAATCTGTAT